GAGAGAGAGAGAGACAATCTGACGACCGCTAAGTTTCTTCGCTCGTTTCAGTCGCTTTTTTGTTCTCCTTTAGCATCATTTTCCTTTCTTATCTCTTCACTTTCCCCTCCTTCTTTGGCATAACCCCAGGCTTTCGGGACTCTGCAGGGCCAACGCGGGGTAATGTGACACCGTCCAGTCCTCTTACCTCACGCCCTCCCTGTGAGTGTGTGTGTGTGGTGTGTGTGTGTGTGTGTGTGAGAGAGAGAGAAGAGAGAGAGAGAGAGGAGAGAGAGGAGAGAGAGAGAGAGAGGAGAGAAGAGAGAGAGAGAGAAGAGAGAGAGAGAGAGAGAGAGAGAGAGAAGAGAGAGAGAGAGAGAGAGAGAGAGAGAGAGAGAGAGAGAGAGAGAGAGAGAGAGAGATAGATAGATAGATAGATAGAGAGAGAGAGAGAGAGAGAGAGAGAGAGAATCAGTGAACATGTCACCGTCAGAGAATGAACACTACTGCCCACGCTAAAATGTGGTGTTTCAAGTGTGGCTATGCAGTCAGGAACGAGTCATCAAATCAGTGGTCACTTCACTATATACATCAGTCACCTCACCTGCTTTCAAAGTACGGATGATTCCAGTTACTTCTAGACGGCAAATCTCAGCACTCAAAGGGGGATATTAGAACACACTGAATTCCTTCCAGGCATCCAGAGGAGACGAGGAAATCCACTTTGCAAATAAAAGTGGACGATTGCTATTTCTACCACTTACTGAATTAGCTAATGATCGAGAGGCTGAGGACTAAATTAACAAAGAAAGAAATAGCTCCTATATTTTCTTCAATACAGCCTCTGAAGGAAGCATGGAAGAGAGATGCTGTAGTCTTACAACTCACTGAAAATACCGCTGCAACCAAGAGCAACACTGAACCAGAAGAGGTAAGATCAATAGCTTTAAATGCTCTTGCCAGTTTAGTACTGATGAAACACAGCAAAGAGAAATACATACAATACTTGTGAACTGATAGACGTCAGGTAAACTATGCTCACTTAGCTTCCTATTCTCCGCGCCACCTCATTTACAGACTGTCCGTAGGCTTTCCACGTCTGTCACTCTCGAAGCACACAGCCTGTCAACATGTCTGGAGAAATGTCCAAATCCAAATAACCCTAACGGTATGCAATGCAACTCTTTAGAAAAATAAAGATAGACAACCAAGGTGGAAGAGCTGAAAGTGAGTAGTAATCCATCTTTTAGTAGACTGGAAAAAATGAAAACTCTTCTCAATTTAGTCTCCTGCGTTGCAAAAATCCGACTATAGACACGAATCTTGCAAAAAAATGGAACTTCTGCAGCAGACTTGGTCCCATGACAAGACTTGCTAAATAAATAAAAGTTACGCAGAAATAGTGACAGGGCAAGCACGACACAGTGCTCGATCAATCTTAACCATTTCATTCTACAATCCAGCCTCCAGCGTCAAATATGTCCTGGTACAAGCATATGATTTCTGATCAATAACCATTATTACCGCCAGCAAGCTACTACAAAAAACAACAACAACAAAAAAACAACAACAATTCTGAAATTATACAAATACATGGAGACAACTGCACTCCAACCTTCACCTGTGACTGAGTCAAAGAAATCAAGCAAGTTCTTGAGGTGATCCTAGCTGGCAGGTTATCTTGGCAATGCACAGGACTGGACTGCAGCCTAACCATAGCAAAATTGGACTTGAAAATACTATTTTATCCCCAGGATTCTAGGGCAAGCTTTTACTGGACATGTCAAACAAATATTGAAGGAAACAACGAGAAAAGTAACTAGTTTAACCAACATTTCTGATTAAATCCTAAATACACACTTCATTAAATAATTTCCTTCCTGTGCGGTCTCCTTGTAGCCCATCCTCTCTAAACCTTACACAAAACTATCATTGTGCGCATGCATAGCCAATCAGCCCTCACGTATTACAGCACAAACTAGACATTTCAGATTTGTGTGTCCAGTACAAATCTGCTAGAGACAATATAAGCCTCACCCAACCCTCTGCGCCATCCACAGAAAACTCGACCCTCTCACAACACTAGGACTACACATAACCGGTCACACCAGCCTGGAATTCCTTTTTTTTTGGCCGTAATTGTTTTTTTTTTTACACTCCTCTATTTCAAGATAGACTAAAGTCGGGAACCAACCATTGATGGAGACCAACCTTCACGATCTTAAGAATTCTCAAGTTAAAGGTGCAGTTAGCTCCACATTTCTGCCATTTGCTCCAGTTTAAACTTTCCCTCCTTATTTTATGAACGTATTTTTTCAGATTTTAATGCTTCTTTCATGAAATATAATCTCTATAATTTGTCATTAAATCAAAATAACTATTAAGCTTAAACTAATATTTTTATCTGACTGTGACGGCAGTTTGTTAATATAGATGCAAAATAAACATAACGTGATCACACAGTAATAGTCTAAGAGATACATTTAGAGGCAGAGATAGTAGTAGTGGTAGATAAATGAAT